TTTTGGGGAAACTACGCGGGAGTCACAAAAACGAGTTATAATTGCAGTATGGGCCAAGATACAGTTTGCAATTGCAGTTGGGGCAATGTATACAAACCTGTGATAAGCTCAGACCCGTACCGCGCGGCTTGCCGTATCCCTGAGGAAAAATCCCCCGGAAGCCCCGAAGTACGGATGCGAACAAAAAGGGGTTTTTCTTTCTTTTTGCTTTTGTTTTCTTTTTGAAACGGCTTTTTCACTTTTTTTTCGGTTAATAACTCCCGCGCGGGCGAATAGCGGCCGCGGTATGAAAACCAAGAAACGGTTTCGGTTGGGACTTTTTGAATTTTTGCGCGCGCGCACCTCGCACCCCGGTTTCTTGCTTTGCATCCCCGCGCCATCTTCCTTTCTTGCTGCGCGCGCTTCCCCCATGCTGGACCCTTCGTCTTCCCGCACGCAAAGCTCGATCCTTACCCCGTCTTCCTCCGCGAAGTGATTGGCTGCGTAGTTGGGATGCTCGGATCAATGTGGAGAGCGGGAAACCGCGCACCATTTGAACGAACACCCCAATCACGTAGGACCATGCAACCCCGCGGGTCGAACCCTCTGACTCCCCACCTTTCTTCTGTCCTGCTCATCTACACCATGCGCTGCCCGCACCTCGCGCTGACAACCCGCCGCCTCCCGCGCTATAAATTCGCGCAACCCTCTCCTCTCCCTCTCTTTGATCTCGGCTGCAATGCTGCGCGAGCTATGAGCGAAGTCCGCGGCGCCGAACAGGCTCGACGAGCCCAAGGACGGGCGGAATGACGACGCGGGGTGGACCCGCGGTAGACTCGGGGTGAAGCAGTCGGAGGGACTGAGCAGTGGTGGGGATTGGACGCCGGCCACGGCAGGGCCTTGTGGCTATGGTGGTCGGTGGTCTTGGGAAGTTCTGACGGTTGCGCCTGGGGGCGGCAGCTAATTGAGAATTTTTGTATACAAGAAGGACTCACTTTTATCTCAATTGCTGCTTTGTCTATGCATGACGTGTGTGTGAGGCCCCGAGTGATGGGAGCTTATTGTGCGCATGAGTGATGTCAAAGGTCTATGGATGATTGGATGTCCTGTCAAGGGTTGTTGATTGCACGCATGTATGTGTGTATGTACTTATCCGGGTCGGGACGGGGGAACTGAACTGGATGACCATCTGCTTAGGAGTATGAGTGTGTTAATCCCGTTGTTCCCCTTCCTTCCGCGACCCTTCCTGCGCGCACGCGCAGTCTCAGTGTAAACTCTCTCTCTCTCTCTCTCGCCTTTCTTTTTGAACTGGTAGTCATCGCTTTTTAACTTCTCGTCCCTGCACCGGTGACGTCAACCGTCGGTGTCCGCGCGCACGGTCGACGCCCCCGCGACGGGGAAGAGAACTTAGATTTCATCATCTTCTTTCGATGCACTAACCTTGAGAGAGAAGGGTTGCATCGAGTGTTGTATGGAGACGGTGTTGGTACGGATGACCGGGAGCGCGGGGTCTGGCCCGTGTTCATCGCCTACCTCCGATCGTCCCATCTCGCTACCGGCCTTTCCCATCGCAGATGATGACGGCGTCTACTGCGATGCGGATGTACGGCGCGCTTTGAGACGAACGGAGCAAGTCTGTTGGCGAGACTCACCCCGGGTGTTTAATATAAGGGGAGACGGGTTCGTCTTAATTGATCGTTTCGATTCCCCGACTCTAATATTGCCTTATACGGATTTGACTGTGTTGCCCTGGTCGATCACTCACGCCACGTGGCGGCCACAGTTTGATTGTCGTTGGTATCGCCAGGGGGACTCGTGTTCTTGGCGACGACTGGTCCTGGGTTACGAGGGAGCGACGAGGTTCCCATGAGCCCTCCCGTAATGCGGGGGCGCTGCCCGCGCAATTTCGAACTCGGGTGTCGGCAAGTTCTCCCGCCGCTTCGCCCTCTCAAGAACTTCCGCGCGGACTTTGTGAGTCCGACGCCGAGGCTTGAAGGCCTCGAACCAACCACCTATACAACGAAAACCTGACGGCCCGGTCTCCGGTCCTTAGCCGCCGTGGCCTCCTCCCCCTGCTGCCCTTCTTCGTTTTGATTCACTGCGGCAGTTCGTCTTTGCGGAACTATTCGGTTTTCGTACCCTGGACTGACCCGACCTCCACGGGACTCAGTGGGGAAAGATCGATCCCGGGATAACCTCTGGTTCGAAACGAGAGCCTCCCGTTCCGACCGGGAGACTCAACCCCTACGGCCAAAAAAAAAAATCCTCGGCCACGCCCCTCCTATAACTCTGATCG